GTACGGGTAAAAGCGGCTCGAATATGAGTGAATCGTCTGTTCTGGTCGCAAGAACCACACGCCATCCAATCCCGGCCGCCCATGATTGTCCTCCCACAGTGCATGGATCAATACGATAGTCGGTCTTGTAGCATCATTCTCGTTCTTGACATGAACACAGTCACCAACATTATAGGTTACGCCCCGATGGACAACAAACGGCAAATGCTTGTCATAATGGACAAGAGGCTTTTGTTTGCTAGCTGGTCCTCCTGGTTTGCCGACTAATTTCCAGAACAAGCGCTATTTGAGTCGTGGGGAGGGGAAAATTTAGGCAGTAAAATGAATATTTAAAACAAAATTATGGGTGCGACAGTTCAAAGATCATATTTGGCGCAATCAGACATGTCAACAATGCCTTGAAACAAACAAGACCTCTCCTTACCTGGAGTTCTTCAGCATCCAGATACACATCAGATCCTTCGGCATTGTACTGCTTGGCGTTCTCAAACATGAGGTTGAAGTCGTGCTCAAACATCTCCAGCGTCTTGTACGCCCCACTTCGGATCTTTTGCTCGATTCCATCCAACGCAATGGGTTGTGTAATCTGATTCAAAAAAAAACGAACAAATAGTCATAAAGGTCAGTGCCACAATTCTTTGTCCTTGCCACCTGGAATGCGCCAAGATATCTTGTCCGCTTCGTTTACCTCTTCGTAATAATCGGGATATTCTTCGCTGCTAGGCAACTCTAAGAACAGCTCTGCAACTTGACGATCACTAATAAACCAATAAATGTAGCCAGTGAGCCATGCGGAAAAAAGATCTCGCAAGACTTGTCCTACGCCACCTTCACTAAAATGTCACAGATACGTACGACTCATCAGTGTGGTCCCTAATGGTGTTCAAAACACGCTCACAGAATTTTTGCGAAAACTAGAGTACATGGGTAGAAATAGACAATAGAGGCGATGCAGGTTAACAAACAGATCCCAAGTTTTTACACGCTGGTGGCGTGGAATATCATATAGATGCTTATGCTTGATAACAACATCCAACATACTGGTTCCGGCTTTGCAAGTCCAGCATTCTTTGCAAAAAGCATCGCTAAAGCTTGTTCGAATTGTGACTATTGAAAGGGAGGCGGTTAACAGGACTAACATGTAAATATTTTCTGAAAAAAATTGGAGGATCCTAGAGAAATGTTGACAACGTCCCAAGTAAACGGATTTACCTCCATGGTCAAGGCATCTTTGTGGATGGCAGATCCGCTCCGATTATACTGTTTCGCGTTGGATGTCAGCAAACGCAAGTCCTTTGCAAACTCTTGAATTCGGCCAGCATAAACTCCAGACTCCAAACGCTCCTACAAAAGATTCATGGAGGGGAAAGGGTTGATTAGACGCCATAAAATATTAGCATAGGAATGCAAGAATTTGAAGACTGATTGATCGCAGAGATTGATGATAAACGTACCCGAATGATATCAAAAGCGATAGGATTTTGGATGGTCAAGTAGTAATCTGGGTACTCCTCGCGGTCGGGCAACTCCATAAACAGTTCTGAAATGACACGCCCACTATCATGAAGGAAGTAATGCATGAAAATGATGTTAGTATTAAGCACAACAGCAACAACAAAAAAATATGTAGTAGTACGAAACACAAATTAACCCGTGAACTCCTTACTTCTTATCGGTCAAGGCTTCGAGGCGATCGAGGATCTGCTGCATAGCAATCTCCACATTATCAACATTCAGATTGTCCGCAATGGAATCTGTGGTCCTCAACGAGGACTTTTTGCGGTTGGACGGCATGACCAAGCGTTTTCACGTATTGGCGTAGTGTGCAAATGGTAGTGAGATTGCGGAGAAGTAAACTATCTCACCTAACTGAGTAAACGGATATATTGAGAAAAAATTCAAAGGCACTCCCTAGCTGTTTTCACGAAGGGTCTTTCTTTTTTTATGCAACAAAAGAAGGAAAGTCAACGGTCAAGTCATTTAAGTCAGTGGGAAAGGAAAAAAAATGCAGTAGGTAAGAATGTGATGAGCTTCATTAGAACCCCGTCCTTGACAATGGTACTCACTGGCGTGTTAGCCCTACAGATCAGGCGCGTTTAGTGTTTCTGCAGGAGGTCGTGCAAGTGTGGGTTCAGTATTGGAGCCCTTCTCCCGCGTACAGAGATGCCCTTCGAAAAAGGATGGTTTAAAAAGAGCGTTTTGAGGGGCAATGACACGGAGCAGACCAATGGTTTGGCACTAGATTGGTGAAGGATGGAGGTGGTAATTAATATGTTGCTAGGAGAAGTGCGTCGTCAAGGGCAGACGCGTTTAGATGCCCAAGAAATAGGGAGTAGGGAGAAAAGAAGAAGGAGAGGGAGTGGGAGAGGGGAGAGACAAGCTCATGTTCAAGGTGTGTATGTGTTGTGTGTGATCTCTTTTCCCCTTCGAATGGTAACACGTCACGTGATGACTTTATTTTATTTAGTGGTACTCTTCGCTAAAAAAATTAACAAGAAAAAAAAAAGTTAAGAGCGAAAGATGGTAAGTCTTCAGCGACAAAGATGTAAATAAGGTAACGTGCCTACGTGCCGTCAAGTAAAGATATACTTACAAAGCTGTATGGAATGTCTGTTGAGCATGCTGTTGCGCATCTTTCTCTCCCCGAAGTCCGGCCCCACAGATGGAGCACTTGAGCCTAAAATTGGCGAGATCGGTGTATTTGTGCTCCTGAAAATAAGTGGGGAAAAAAAAGATTAGATTCCAGTCTCTTTTTACACAATACGCTTATGGGATTAACATACTTTTAAAAAAATACGCACTTTTTTCAGTTTGGCTGCAAGTTGGATACCCGCCTGGAGAATTTCTTCCGCAGAAACATCAAACTGTGTTTGATCACATTCCGCCGGGATATCTGCACCAAGGGTAAGAGCAACGGCATCATAGTCTAACAATATAAAAGTTGGTACAAGTAGTCAGTGACAGCCTTTTTTGTAAGTACGTCAGAGTGACCCCAGATGACTATGACATTGTATTGGAAGGTGCTAGTGACTTACGAATGCCGCTGTACATCAAAATTACTCGATGATCATACTGTCCTTCGCCTGAAACATGGAAAATCAAGCAAGAATATTTATCGTTAAATGTCATGCTTCGTATGTCCTGCCATCGTTTCGGATAATGGTGCTATCAAGGGCTTACCGAAACGGTCCACGCGGTTCGTGGATACATCAATGCTTGCGATTTCTATCGAAATGAAAATGATAAAAAGGAGTTTAGGTTTTAGGCAACTTCAACTCTGCAACTTCACCACACATGTTGGTCCTCGCTGTAGCAGTGTCCATACCAATCTTGTAGTATTCTGAAAAAATGGCAAGTTCTAATATCGATCGTTAAATGCAAAGACATTGATGAGTCTTACTAGCTCCAAGTAATTTCAATATCAAAAATTCAGATTAAATGATAATAAGTCTCATACCTATTGCTCCACCCCAGCTGTTTTCACGGGTAATCCATTCGCAGTACTCCTTTCGTGGCCGACTAAAAAGAACCAGCAGGAACAAAACAATATGTACAACGTCAGTTCATGTAGATTTGGATATATGTGCGTAAAATTGCAAAAATGCAGGAGAAAGTGTGGTGAGGTACATACCCCAAGACGACATCAGGGTATAGGTCAGGATTAGCTTCGATGACCTGTACCACAATCCGTCGAAGCTCGTGCACTTTGTTTTTACGGCCCTGATCCAGAGTATAGGCGATGGCATTAAACAAGCAACTGTTGTCGTCATCAACCTCTCGGACAACAAGATAGCCCAGGTCATCCACTCGCACTCCCTCGCTGGAGCTTCCTGTCGTAGTCACCATTCCCGCATAAGGGTTACTCTGCTGTGACAGAGAAGGCTGTGGTGCTGGTGTCGGTTTGGAAACAACTGGCTTGGTGCCACTTGTCGATGGCGGCTGTGGAGCAGGGTTCGATGTGACAGGACCAGAAGCCGTCGTTGTCACCGCTGTAACTACATTTGCTGGGGACTGTGCTTTAGCATTATCAGGCACACTCTGAGCAGTAGGCAAAGGAGGAGCGTTTTTGTTCTCAGAGACAATAATCTGGTCGCCGTCTCTCATGCCAAGGCTCCCCAACGTGGCTATGGCAGCTTGGTCGTTAGGCAGCAGTTTAGGAGGATAGCCGGTTTTGCACTCGATCGTGTGCGCTGGAGCTTTGACCACTTCAGCAATAGCATTCTATATCGGTTGAGTTGTTAAGAGGGCTGAGTAAACGAAACGACAAAAAAAAGGCCGCACTGGGCAAAATAGCACAGCCCAGGAACGCACAGGCTACAAAAAAAATTATATAAAGAAAGCAATGACTTACAAGTAGGTCCAGCAATGTTGAATGCTCTTGGAGGGACGAAAGAGTAGCGATGCCTTCCTTGTGACGAATTCGAAGTCTCATGGTGAAAGGTGTATAGCAATGAAGGCAAGTAAGAATTGGAGTGCTCTGAGAAGAGAGAGAGAGAGAGAGAGACATCCCTTGTTCGCACTTAAACGCTTTTGGAAACAAGGGACACGCGGCCATTTTTTTTTCTCTGGTGTAAGCCGGACCTGAAAATTCGGTTACGTCCTGTGTCACTTGGGTAAACTGGGTAAAGTATTTTATTTTTGGGTGACACAACACATTCATTCATTCCTTCATACATTCCTCCATACTTCTAGATCATCATCTTTCAATCGGTTCAGCAGATCTGCGCAATGACGATCAGGGTAACTTTGGAAGACACTCTTTGTCGTCTTGTTCTCCTAAGCTGTCTATGACAGCAACAAGTATATCACTTCTTTGGAACCCAAAAAGTCCAGCTTTACTACCTTTTTCCATCATTCTCTGTCACTTCACCTTGTGGTTTATCATCCATGAAGCTCTTTGTAGTTTAAAAAACACAAAAGTAGTATGCTCATTATGAGCATTCCTTGCATGGATGCGCCATTCGGGGAATCGAAAAAAATCTAGGGAATTTTGGCAAAACTGAAGGTAATGGGATTCGAACCCATGTGCCAATTAAGGCTCGGCTCCTAAGACCGACGTCGTAACCACTGGACCATACCTCCATCTTACCCGCGGGATTCCAGATCATCTTGGTATCGCTGGGGTAGCTTGGTGGCAACGGGTTCCGGATGAGTCTGAACGTGGTTTTTTCGAATGGACGCCCGTCTTTTTTGGGCCCTTTGGGGCAGGCAGGCGATTCAGAGTGCCGGTGTGCCCTCTCCTGATGGCATAAAAAGCAGGGCGCTGGTTTTGCACCAGTGAAAATCC